TGAGAGCTTTCCACAGCTGTCATCACACAAGTGTCACCAAGTACTGTTCAGCCTGGTACCTGTCAGAAGGCTGTGGTTGTCTGCCTGGGGGACTGCATAGAGGAAAGGCTCCGTAGGTGAGGCCTTGAGCAGTAGGTAGGATTTGAGGTGGAAAATAGAAGGGGGTATTCCAGCCATTGAGTACTGCCTGAGCAGAAGCAAGGAGCCGGACGTGTAGATGTTGGATAGGAGACTGGGAGGGGGATGGACAGCAGGTACTCCGGCATGGCTGGGTAAGGGGTTTCACAAGAGTAGTGCTGGCAAAGTAGACCGGCCCCTGAGTGTGAGGTGCCTCAAGTGTCTCCTAGCACAGGAAGGAGGAATAGACCCCACTCGGAAGACACGGTGAGAGTTTCTGCTAAACTGCAGAGAATAGAGATGAGGCCAAGGCTTGCTCACTTGGTACAATTAAGGCCTCTTTGGGATGACCACAGATAAGAGGCCTTACTATACCTGGGACTCCTCGAGTTCTGGGTGAATGGGTGTGCAGCCATGAAGAGGAGAAAAAGCAGCAATTGGCAAAACCCGTTTCTTCTTTTTGCTTTTTGGCAGAATTAGTTCCTGGTGTGCCGTGGCATTTTGACTTTTATCCCTATTGGACATCTATGCTAATTAACCTTTTGAAATGATCTATTGTCCTATTAAATAATTTAAGTATAAAAAATTATAAAATTAACACATAATTTTGTATAGCCTCTTGTTATATAAATAAATTATGTAATTTAATTCTCCCTTCAGTCCTCCAAGAGTGGTATTCTAATGGCCGTTTCCCAGATGGGTTCATTTCACAGAGCCAAGGCTCTGAGAGGTTAAGTAACGTGTCCCCCATCATAGACCTTTGTGAATATATCAGAGTCAACAGTCGGCCCTGTTCACCTCTGTGCTTCTCTCTGTTCAGACTGGAAAGCTATGGAAGGTGATACGTACAGAGGCAACACGGCTCTGCTTTATTTGGCTTGTGAGAAAGAGGAAAGAAGGCTCCCCAGCAGCTGCTGTGTGGGGAGTTAAGATGGGGTATAGGAAGAATGTACCCAGAGGTCCAGTTGCCATTATTTGGCAGGAATTACTGTATGTTAGGAAATAGCAGTAAAAGTCACACTGCCCTGGGTCACAGGTTTTGGTGTAGATTGACATGTTTTACATGTGGAATACAGAAGGCAGAGTCTGGTCTGAGAGGCAGAGCTGCACGGCCAGACACATGAGCAGACATGTCTGCACAAGGGGAGATGGAGACAGCCTGGACCTTAGGACTCTCGCTCCCTGACCATGGAGTTGCCGTATGGAAGGCATTTCTAGCATCTGTTTGTAGAATGGATATCTAAGTGAGGCTGGGAAATATGTGTGTGGCTGTAGGTATAGGAGAAGTAGATCGTGTCTGCCTGGCTTGGGAAGATGAGAAGTGGTCAGAGCGGGTGAAGCGGCCCAGTCTTGCAGCGTTCTAACTAGACCCCTGTCTGCGGTGCACAGGATCCTGGTCTTCCTCTTCTGTTCAGCTCCTGGCTGTGTCTGTCATGGCAGGGTCAGTGAATTAACAGTTGGTGGTCTGTGATCTGAATATTAGGCGGGTTGGAAAATTGCTTGAGATTTTAAAAAATGAATATTTAGGATGGTCAAATATATAAATAACAAGTCCAGAATATCAGAAGTCACCATCTTTAATGTGAATATTTACGGAACCAGTAGATGGAGAAATTTTTTTGTTTGAAGTCATAGAAGATCCTAATTCCCAACCATTTTGTAGTGATGTATAAAGGTTCATATAGCACCCCCCCACCCTCACCACGCGCCCCTGCTCCGGTCTGGGCTTTTCCCTTTCTTTTCTCCACCCTCCTCTTGCCCTCCTCGAAGCTTGCCCACATGCCCAGAGCTGCTTGGAAGCAATTTAGATTCCCTCCCAAGGCATCAATTCACCACTGCTCGGCACACAAGATCCTTGTGGATGGATACTCAGTTCTCTTCAGGCAATTTGGAAATGGCCACTTCTGAAAACGTGAATATGTGATAATAAAGTCAGGAATAAAGAGATGAAAAATCTTTTGTTATTGCCTCATGTTAGAATTTGTACGGGTTTGAAAAAGTCTGTGCTCTTTCATCTCCCGAGTTTAGAACAGCAGTCTCTGTGTTCTGGTTATTCAACTTCGTGGCAACAGTGCGCCCTCCTCTGGCATGAGGTTACGTCTCCATATGGTACCACCCTACTTCTGTTAACAGTGCGCCCTCCTCTGGCATGAGGTTACGTCTCCATATGGTACCACCCTACTTCTGTTAACAGTGCATCCCCCTCTGGTCTGTGAGTAGCAGGGCCGACGGGAGGGAGGGGAAGGAATCTATATTTCCTGATTGTTTACTATGTGCCAGGATTAGGGCCTGGCTTCTTTATGTATGTGATCTCATTTATAGAGAGTATTATTTTATTAATACAGAAATAGAATCTCAGAGAAATTAATAAATTTGCCAAGGGGCACAGAGCTAGCAGTATTATTCAAGATTTGAACCAAGACCTAACTCCACAAAGTCCATGCTTTTTCATTACGCTAACTATGCTAGGGATGTATAGGGTCCAGGATCATCATGAGGATGAGGCCTAGAAGAAATTCCAGGCTATTCTTCATTTTCTTCAGTCCTACACTGCTCCATTATTTCTCTCCAAGTGAAATCAGCTTAATATAAACATCAGAGATGGTCTTGACAGAAAAAATAAAGAAAGCATTGTTTAAGGTTGTTGTGGGAGGAGGACCCTAGAGGATAGCATGAAAGAAAGAAAGGAGCAATCCTACTTTGTGTGTGGAGGAGGTGGGGTTGGAGGCGAAGGGAACTTTGTCCTGTAGATGTACGTGTGAACCTCAGAGAATGTTGAGATTCTGTCAGGCTCCAGTAAGCCATCTCCTTGGGTCCTAGCCCAGCTCCCAGGGAAGTCATTGACTTGATGCACTAGAAAACCAGAAGAGTTTCTAGAAGAGTCTGAGAGATCACATTCTCTAAAAAGAAAGAAAAGAAAGAAAAAGAAATGGAAAAAAACAACCAGATGAAGGAAAAGAAGCTTATGAAACTGGCACCGAGATTGGATTCATGAGGCTGCTGTCTTTGGGCTGGCGCAGATGTTTATTGTACTGCTACGTAGTGTCAGGCCAGTGCAGAGGACCTGGTAGAGCTAAGAGTAAGGCCTTAGAAATTTGTAGGCAGATGGGAACAAAATAAGGACCAGCATCTCTTCTGTCAAGTGGAGCAGGGGGTCATAAGGGAGGAAGCTGTGTCAATGGAGATAATAGGATTGACATGGGTTTTATTCTGATCCATTATTAGGATGTTTTGTGACCCTGAGCAAGTTATCTTAGGACTCTGGAACTCAGTTTCTTTATCTTCAAAATGAGCACCTTGCCAGGGATATTGTACTTTGCAAGAATCTTGCAATGACAGATGTATGATAAATGTTTGACATGTAGTAGACTTTAGCAAACGGTCACAATTTGATGATTAAGTGCTGTGACTGCCTGATTCTGCTTCCTTATTTGCAGGAGCGAGGCATCTCTTACCCTGCTGCAGCTGGTATGGGGCTGGAATCCCAAAGCCTAGAGGAGAATAGAACTAAAGTCTTTTTTATTTTTTTCAAGATTTTATTTATTTGAGGGAGATACAGATAGTGAGAGAGAGAGAGCAGGAGTGGCGAGGAGAGGGAGAAGGCAGGCTCCCCTCTGAGCAGGGAGCCCGATGTGGGACTCGATCCCAGGACCCTGGGATCACGACCCAAGCCGAAGGCAGATGCTCAACTGACTGAGCCATGCAGGCGCCCCAAGAACAGAACTAATTTCAAATAAGGTGCAAGTTCATGAGTCAGGTAGTCAGGCAAAAGGTGGGGGGCCAGATCCAGGAGGAGGAACATCTGAAAGCAGAGTCTGGGCCAAGATGCCAACTGGAGACCCAAGAGCGTCACAGGTGTCAGGCTTAGCAGAAGAGCAGGTCAAAAGAGTCTCGAGTGTCTCTGTGAGCTCCCCCAGCTTACTTTCAGTTAGTTAATGGGGCAGGGGGCTGTGTATCCCATGTGGATTTGAGGTCGTCACAGAGAATAGACAAGTGTAATCGCTGTCCCTCATGCACGCCTTCCCTCCCGGTGGTCAGTGTGGTGGACGAGTGAGGGGTACCAGAAAGCACCTCAGAGGCTGAGGGCTCAGGTGATAGGTTCTCCACTGTGAACTTGATTCTGGTCAGAGAGAAACTAGCTCTGAATCCCCCAGGGTCTGCATGTTTACTTACTAATTAGGATGTTTTTTATTCTTACTAAAAATTACATTTCTTTGTCTTGAATGATTATTTTTTAAAATACAGAAAATAGAAATAAAAATCACCTGTGATCTCACCATCTAGATGTAACAACCATTAATATTCTTGTGTTCTCTCTAGACTTTATTCTGATGCATATCAGTGTACATATTCATGTTTAATAATGGGATTAGACAATACTTGATGTTTTGTGAGATTATTTTTTCATTTAAGATGTCATTGCTGTTTTTGTTTTATATTATGAGATACATCATATTCTCTTGTATGAATTTATGTAATTCCCTCTTGGGACATTTACCCTTTATCTAATTTTCTAAACTCTTTCTTGATAAGTCTATGAAGATGTACACAATTCTCTCCATGAAGTAGATTGCTCTGTCAAAGGATAAGCAGAATTCAAAGGTTTTTTCTTTCAACAAATGGTATTCCAGAAGGGTGGTATAAAATTGGCACACCTGCCGGCAGGTGTGCCCACACACACCCATTTCCTCAGAGCATTGGCAACAGTGCACGATACCATGATGGGGGAGCGTCTCTAGTTTGGTAGCTGGAAACACTACATGTGTTTTAATTTTACATGCTGTTGATTTATGACGGTAACTCCAGCCCTCAACAGTAGTCTCCCATACATTCGCCATTCTTTCCTTCCTTTCCTCCCTGATGGTGGTTTTCTGTTTTTGCAGTATTGCTGGGAGCCTGGTGTATTCCTACATCACTTTCTCTGAAGAGCAGTTGAGCAAACAGTCAGAGACCAGTAACAAGCTGGACATTAAGGGGAAAGGAGCAGTATGACCAGAGGATTGCTTCAACGACGTAGGCCCAAGTTTTTGATCAACTGAGAACACTGGCAATTCTTACACAGACACTGAGGGGTGTCTTGATTATGGAGAAAATAACCATTCCTTTGCACTTGTACAATCTGAGGATTGATTGCTGCCTTTTAAAATTTTATGAGAGAAACTTATAATTGACTCTATTTTAAATATGCCGTTGGAATTAATTTATATCAAACTGGAAAATGTACCGGGCTTTTTAATTTATTTCTTTTATGCCGACAATGAAACATCGGTGTTTTGAAAATATTGTATCCCATAGTTTGATATCCAGGTGTCCCTTAGAAGCTGCATATATACAGTGCTCCAACTGGAGCCTCCTCATTCAAATTGTTGCTGCATATAGAGGGAGGTTAGCCTTCCCTCTCCTGGAAATGCAGCCAAGTATCTAAAATTTCTCCTTTTTAAATTTTATTTCTTAACAATTGCATTTTCTTCATAAGGATATTATCACTGCCTTTGCTAAAGACAGCTTTGGCACTAAAAAACTATGTGGGCTTTGAAGTTGTATTGGTCTCCATGTTGGCTTCCCTGAGAACCCCTGGGATGGGCACAGTGCATCCCTTGAAATTACGCTATTCCTTCTTTGTTGTGTAGGATGGCGATAATGAAGGGATGGAGAAAGTAGGCCTCTTACTCATTTATTCATCTGTAGGATTCATTCATTCAGCTCAAATGTACTGGGTATGTAATATGTACCTGGCATTATGCTAAGTGCTGGGGGTGCAGAGATGTTTTTGGAGGTAGTTGAATGATCTCACTCCTGCTGTTGTGACCGAGGGTTAAGAAAGAAAACTTAACTTGATGATCCATTCAGAAGTTCTGAACAAGTCACAGAAATTTTTTTCAGCTCTTAGAAACTGCAGGTCTGTAAATGGGCTTGGAAGCACCTGCCCTTACCTACCCCACAGTGGTGAAACCAGATGCTACAACATGAGATGACATGCATGTGAAGAGCTGCATTTTATTTATTTAACAGGTTTTTTTTAATTTTTTTTTAACTCTGTACCCGATGTGGGGTTTGAACTCATGACCCCAAGATCAAGAGTCGTATGGAGAGCTGCATTTTGTAAACCATGCAGCTCAGCCCTTCTTCTCTGAGGGAGAATGGCAGGCCAGCAAGGTGGCCACCATCTCTTTCCTGTGCTTCCCTCCTCTGGGTTTGGTTGCTATTCTTTTTACTCCTCTTTGAATTAACACAACTAGGCCTTACATTCCTGAATGTATTGGTTTGAGGGGAAAGCCTGTTCAGATGTTTCTGTATTGTCAAGCCTTGGTCTTTGGGTGTCAGCATTAGAGCTTAAATGGCATGAGCGTAGCCGTCTCCTCTGGATACTCTCACCCACGTCTGGTGTCCCCTGGGCATGTCAGCTTCTCTCACGACTTCCGTTACCTCCTGGGAGAGCAGCTGTGAATGGGCATTGCCTGAATTGCCTCTCTGGGCAGGAGGGGCTTCCCTCACACACAGCGCTGTGAGCTGGCACAGAGACATCCCTCGACTTTGGGTCTGAGTGTTTGCACAGGCTGGTTGTGCAGTCAGTGCAGAAGAGACTGGGTACTTTTGCACTGGTACACGCTAACTTCTCTTTCGCTGGGTTTGGAACCCACAGGGCTCTATTGATCCAAACAATTAGTATTTTGATGGCTTAACAGGAGGCCTGGAAGGTTTTAATTTCTTTTTATTTTTAAAAAATTATATTGAGGTTATTTTCATATTCGTGTGTTTCCTGTATTGAAGTAAAAATTCATGTTTCTCCTGTTGAACCATTCTGCCATTGATTAACTGCCCTTTTCCTTTGAGAGTGAGGAAATGGGGGTGCCAGCTGAGTCAGCTTGAGTTCTTTCAAGGAGGCAAGTGCTTGGTTGAATGTGGAGTCAGAGAGGAATACGCTTTGCAAATTAGGGACAGTGGTGCTAGAGCTTCTATCTAGCTTCCAGGTTGGCCTCAGTTGGTGTGAACTCTGGCTGTGAATGTTTCCTGCCGCTGCCTGGTTTTGCCTGGATAAGGTGGAAAGGCACCGTGAGAGTTAATTTTAGTGGTTCTGTTCCTCCTCCCACCAAGCCACATGGAGGGAACTTTGACCTTAGAAATAATTTCAGTTGTAGAATTTCTCATCATGAAAGGCCTCTGGATGTGTCTAGAGCTGTTAGGCTAGAACCCTAGTAGGGTTTGAACTGCTTCTTGGGGGTCAGGTTCCTTGAAGATCTGTCATCTTCTCAAGGTTTGAGAAAATCACGTGTAATTACAGCACATTACCTTAGACCCCCACCCCCACCCCGGGCTAAACTTGCTGACTGGTCAGAAGCAGTAGAGCAAGTTGAAGCTGCTGCCCCGTCTGGGTTCTGATTCCTAGATGCCCCTTTCGACTTCCACCAACATGTCAAGATAAGAGAAAGCAGCATGGGGAAGTTAGAGACTGAATAGACTGGCCAACCATTTTTGGAGTTTTTCAGTTACGTGCAGGGTAACTAGTGAACTAGACCTTTACCTGGTGCTCTGACATCACCCAGAATGTCTGGATTTTGCCCCAAGGTTGATATTTTACAAGGCAAAAACTCCATGACCTACTAACTACCTCCTGGGAGAAAGAGAGGCAGCTTTATAGTTAAATCCTTAATTTGCCTTTTGAGACAGATGAGCTGTGATGAGAATTTTGAAAACCAAATTCTGTCTAGTGGCTCCTCTTCTCGAGTTAATGACAGCCAAGTCCTCTTTGGCCATTCTGCTTTTTAGTTCGTGCCAGAGTGATTCAGATAACCCTGGTTGACCAGACTGCACGTTGCCAATGTGTCAGGTGATTGCTTCATATGGCTGTTATTGGCTTTATAAGTCAGTCAGCTTGCATGTTGGTTTAAAAAAATACGCATCTGCAAGTTTTCTTACAGTCCCGTCGTATCAAGAATCCATGGAAAGTTCGGGTCAGTAACGCCGAAACAGGTTCTTCACGGAAAGACTAGTAGAGTTTCATATTTGACTGGTTTGGAATAGTGCTTAGGATTTTGGACCTGCTTTTGTTATTGTGGTCTTATCAGTGAACAGAGATTTATTGAGCATCATTTTTATGCCAGAGCCTTATGCCAAGCTCTGGGGAAACCACCATGAATAGGACAGTTCTTGCTCTCAAGGAATGTGTAATTCTTTAGCCAGACCCATAATAAGAGAAAGGAAGTGAAAGAAGTCAGTGACTTGTAAGTAAGAACTGTTGGCAGTTACCAGGGATTAGGGGTGCCCCGCCCACCCATAGAGCTGAAGCATTTTTTTAATCTGAAAGGACTTTTACAACTCCTGCTACTCTTCCAGCTCTGAAAGAAGTGCCAGGCTGTTAGAATTGTGTGGCTAGCCTGGGTTCCCCCTCTCTCTGTTTCACATATTCTTTCTTCCCCATAACTATGTCATCCAGGAGTCACCCCTTCTCGGTTTCAGTTACCCGTGGTCAACCGGGGTCTGGAAGCAGATGCTCCTCCTTCTGACATATCCTCAGAAGGTTGGTAGTAGCTTCACGCTACCTCACGATGCCTGCGTCATTCACCTCGCTTCATCTCATCATGTAGACGTTTTATCACCTCACATCGTCACAGGGGTGAGTGCAGTCCAATAAGATACTTTGAGAGACACCACATTCATGTAACTTTTATTACAGTATATTATAATTTTTCTATTTTGTTGTTGTTAATCCCTTACTGTGCCTAATTTATAAATTAAACGTTATCATATGTGTGTATAGGACAAAAGAACACATAGGATTCAGTACTGTCTGTGGCTTCAGGCATCCACTAGGGATCTTGGAACACATTCCCTGTGGATGAGGGGGGACTTCTTCATCGGCTCCTCCTTAGGAATGAGGCTGTAATTGATTTTTCCTTCCTCGAGGGAAAAACTATAATATTCACAGTAAATGAGATAATAGATGTAAAACTACTCAGCACGGTGCCTCGTACATACTAGGCACCCAGCAAGTGTTGTTACTGTCATAATTTCATGGTGAGACTATAGGCAAACTAGATACTTCATCTCTGCTCCTTAAATGCTAGAGGCCTGGGCAGTGGGTATGTTTCTTGAAAAACGTGACCCTGTACTTTGTTGCCTCTGGAATGTTTAAATAACCGTTGTCTTTTCAAAAAAAAAAAAACCTACTGGATATAATTGTGGCCATTATGTGATGCAGGTCATTCCACCTGTTTTTAGAAGATAGAACAAAGATACTTACATTTTGGTGGTGAATTTCAGAAAAAAAGTGATTTTCTATCTTCACCTCAGAATGGTGATGCTGGTTACGCTTTCCCAGTTTGTCTCCTTAAGGGTTAGCTCCTCTACAGGCTCCACAGGCCAGACATTCCTTCTTCCCTTTTCCGAGTGAAATGCATTGGCTCCGTGAGTTCTGAGTCCATGCTTCTCTGGTGCCGTCGCTGTGTTCTGAGCTTGTCCGCTAGGTTTTATATGAGGGCGCCACTTCATGATGGTAAGAAAGGATACCCGGGTTTTTTTAAGCTTTCTTTTTTGCATTTTTAAAAAGAAATCTACTGGTTAGATTTATTGTTTCACAAAAATGTTTTTAGAGATTATTTTGTTCATAGATAGTTCTTTTTCATGCTGATGATCAACTAATTTTTGTCTACAATTGTTGGCCTATCACAGTATTTTTTCAGTACAGATCCTATTTACGAAATGACCATTTTAGTGTTTTTAAAAGGTACTAAGGATTGAGATATGTAAATCAGGTGACATAAATATGAAAATTATGTGCCTAAATATTTTTGTAAAGGTGTCAAATAAATACTTTTTCCTGAACACATGTATTAAAATTCCTTTCTAAGTGCATACAAAGAGCTGTAAGTCTGCCCACATTTAAGAGGATGGCATCCAGTTAGTTGATTGAAACCCTGTTATAAACAGTTTGCCACCATGATACTGCGATTTATAATAGAAATTTATATTTGGTCTTTGTTCCTGTTCCTGGCACATAGCTCCTAAAGTTCTTGTACGTTATAACAAAAGATATTCCTGTAGCTCATATCTATTTTTGTTCCAGGTTGTTGAAATAATTCCATAGCCATAAGGATGAAATGGGAGTCTTTTGTTATTCATAATGAGCCTCTTTCAACCAACTGCACCTGTTTCTTAATGAGGTGACCTTTGGAGAGCCCCAAAGGATGGGTAGGAGCTGGTTGGGGGCGGGAAACCAACTGTGGTGATTTGTGTCGGGAACTTTCAGCCTCCTCCCCTACCCTTCTTGGGGAAGGGGAGAGGAACTGGAGGTTAAGTCAGGCACTGATGGCCAGTGATTTAATCAGTCATGTCAACATAATGAAGGCTCCATAAAAATCCCTGAACTACAAGGTTCGGACAGCCTCTAGGCTGTTGAACGTGTGGAGGTGCTGGGAGGGTGGTGCTCCCAGAGAGGGCAGGAAGGCTCCATGCCCCTTGCCACATATCTTGCCCAATGCATCTCTTCCATCTGGCTGTTCCTGAGATACATCCTTATATAAGAAACTGGTAGTTTAAGAAATAAACTGTTTTTCTGAGTTCTGTGAACTACTCTAACAAAGTATTCAAACCTGAGCAGGTCCTGGGAACCTCTGGTTAATAGCTGGTTGGCCAGACGCACAGGTTAACCACCAGGATTTGTGATTTGCTTTGGAAGGGGGTGGGGGAGGTAACAGTCATGTGGGACTGAGCCTGTGAGTCTTGTGGGAACTCTGGGACCGGATGCTAACTCCAGGTAGACAATGTCAGGACTGGGTTGTAGCTGACACAGCCAGTGTTGCGGATTTGCTTGGTACATAGTATTGAGAGAAGACACAGGAGGAATTTTTCCTTTATAGCCATACAAGTATTTTGTATGAAGAGCACATATGGTTAGATACCCAGTGTCTCTGGCATACTTGTGCTAAATTCAAAGGAAAATATTTCATCTGTTTAATCAGTTGTCTAAGCCTCTGAGTAGCTTGACCAGGAAATAACTCTAAAATAAAACAATGCTCATCAAGAGAGGCATTTTGGTACAGGCAAGCTCAACAGAATTAGGAGTACATTAAGGCTTTAAAACTGTGGCAAAATATAAGCATAAAGTTTACTATTTTAACCATTTTTAAGTGTATAGTTTAGTAGTAGTAAATATATTCACATTGTTGTACAGCCAGGAACTTTTTCATCTTGCAACTGAAATTCATACCCATTAAACAGCTCCCCATTTCCCCCTTCCTTCCAGCCCCTGGGCAACATTCTACTTTCTATGAATTTGACTACTCTAGATAACCTCATACAAGTGAAATCATACAGTATTTGTCTTTTTGCTACTGGCTTCTTTCACGTAACATAATGTCCTTGAGGTCCATCCATATTGTAGCATGTTGTTAAAATTTTTTTTCCTTTTTAAGGCTGAATAATATTCCATTGTATGTATATAGCACATTTTATCCATTCATCTGTTGATGGACACACTGGGCTGCTTCCACCCTTGGCATTGTAAATAATACTGCAAAAATTGGGTGTCTTAATCAGTTTCTGTAACAAATTACTATAGAATGGGTGGCTTAAACAACAAAAGTTTATTCTCGCCGTTCTAGAGGCTGGCAAGTTCAAGATCAAGGTGCTGGCAGATCTGGCGTCTGGTAAGAGCCTGCTTCCTGGTTTGTGGGATATCCATCTTCTCTTATCCTCACCTGATGGAGAGCAGAGAGGAAGTTTTGTCTTGCCTCTTCTTGTAAGGACACTAATTCTATGAGGGCTCCACCTTTATGACCTAATTACCTCCAACTACCATCACACTGGGGATTAGGGTTTTAACATACAAATTGTGGGGGCGGGGGCACAAAATCTATAGTGGTGTGTGCAAAGATGCTTTCAATTCTTTTGAAATTACTGGGTCATCTGGTCATTCTGTTTTTATTTTTTTGAGGAACTGCCATACTATTTTCTATTGTGGTTGCACCATTTTACTTTCCAGTCAGTGTGTACAAGGGTCCCAAATGTCCACATCCTTGGTAAGACTTACTTTTACTGAAAGTAGCCAGCCTAGTGGGTGTGAGGTTGTCATATGGTGGTTTTGATTTGTATTTTCCTAATGATTAGTGGTGCCAAGCATCTTTTCATACGCATATTGGCCATTTATATACTTTCTTTGGAGAAATGTCTGTTCAGGTCCATTTTTTTGTTGGATTTTTTGTTCATGTGTCATTCTTTGTATGTTCTGAGTTTCAGCCTCTTATAAAATACATTATCTGCAAATATTTTTTCTACTCTGTAGGTTGCCTTTTCATTCTTATTGTGTCCTGTGATGCAGTTTTAAATTTTGATGTAGTGCAATTTATGTTTTTGTGTTTGTTGATTATGCTTTTGGTGTTACATCCAAGAGGTAATGGTCAAATCCATTCTCATGAAGTTTTTTCCCCTATGCTTTCTTCTAAGAGTTTTGTAATTTTATGTCTTATGTTTAAGTCTTATATCCATTTTTAGTTTTTGCATATGGTATAAGGGTCTAACTCCATTCTTTTGCATGTAGTTTTACTGATACCGTTTGTTGAAGAGACTGCCCTTAAGGCATGTTTTAATCAAGTTTTAAAAATCCTCTTAGAATTTGACTTTCTAATTTGTGAGATAAATGCTCTTTGATTCAGCCTTTTGCTAGTTTCTTGTCTCACCTTGGCTTCCATGCACAGGGCTGTCATAACTGGGGACCACTTCACAAGAGGCACTGCTGAGAGGAGCAAAGCACAGAGCTGGTGCCTTCGTATGTCCATAGCAGGTGAGCAGTTACTGGCTATGCCCTGGACTTCCCTACAGCTCTCATCACATCAATTGTTCACCCATCCATCAAGCTAGACCGAGCTCACTGGGGCTGGCAGCCAGCCTGTAGCAGAGACCTGGCAAAACCATATTTAACAGATGGAGCGGAGTAAGGTAAATTGTCCAGTGTGGTTATGAAACCCACATTCAAATCCCAATCAGCCAGGCTCAAAAGACCTTTGCTCTTAACCACCATAGTAGGTTCTTGTTACACCGTGTCTGTTTGTAATAACCTTAGTGGTACCAAGCTCATCATCACAATATGCCTGTTGAATGCCATTCTTCATTCTGAGTTTGTACACCATGGATTGAGCTGGTAGCTGGTTAAATCTGCAAAGGCAAAGCAGATGGGCCTTTCCAGCCGTACTGATGGGGCGCTCTTGTGGGAGTAGCAGCCGTTGGAGGATGGTGGAGATGATGGGAAGCAGTTTGCATGAAACGCAATTATTTACTGAGGGTCTACTGTGTTCTTTCATGGAGTTAGGCCTTCACCATATCTTTGAATATTCCGACACTTTACTATTGCACAAATAGCGGTTTAGACAAAGCTAAGGAATTTGTCCAACTTCCTTCAGCTGATAAAATGTGGACTTTAATTCCAAAATCTTTTCTTCCCAAAGAATTCTAGATAACATCCCTAGATTAGAATGCCAAAGGAGAATCTCATCAGGAATGCCTCATCATGTGTGCTTATCCTTCAGGCAGTTTTTTCCAGTGAATAGTTTTGAGGACAATATCTACAAATGATGACAGATTCATGAAACTATCTGAGATATGTCGAAGAGGAATATCATCCCGAGAATGGTAGGAATAAGTTCCTTGGAGAAAAGACATTTGAGCTGATTCCTGGAACAACTAGTATTCGACTGAGGAGATACTGGAGGGGACAGCCCTCTAGCATTCCAGGGCCACTGTATCTGCTTCTGTCTGGGGTGCATCCCCCTTTAATGTCTTTACAGCAGATGCCCTCCTCTGTGGGCCTTCCCTGGCCAGCCTATCTGAAATTGCACCCCACCATTGTCCCTATTCCTCTCCTGTGCATTATCTCTATAGCACTTGTCTCTTTTGATGAAATTTAAGCTTTATGAAGGCACAGATGTTGGTCTGTTCTGTTCACTGCAGTATGCCTGGCACCTAGAAACAACAGTGCCGGCCACACTGTGGGTACACCGTAAATATTTCCTGAATGAAAACATCTAGACAAAGAGTAACCCATTAATGGCTATATTTTTTAAGCATAGCAAGGCAGAAATATGGCCTCATCTTCATTTTGGAAAGATCATGCCAGCTGCAATATTGGGACTGTAGGGCAGGAGTTGACCAATTCACATCTTATAGGGAGGGGCCGGGCAGGTAGAAAGTGTGAATCTGAATGAATGTAATCAATACATACAGTAGTTAGTGGTAGGGCTTGTGGTACTTACCTGCTTAAAGGCATTGAAATTAGGCCAAAAAAAAGTTGCCAGGCAGATTTGGCCTGCTGGCTGTTGGTGTGCCTAAATTGAGGAACTGCTGTACATCAGATTTGCACTCTAACAGGATCACTGAGCATGCTGTGCAGATTATGGTCAGGTGGGGGGCAAAGAAAGGACTGTACAGATGAATACATCAGCTACAGAAGATTGCTGTACAGTCCTGGGAAGAAATGGTGGGGTCCTAAAGTGTAGCTGTGAAAGCAGAGAACAAACATTGAGTTATTTTAGGAGGTAGAATTAAACAGGTGATAATGAAATTGGTTTCTAATTTTTATTTATAATTAAGGCTGTGGTGAATTTCCCTTTTGCCTAAGTCTGTTATACTCAAGGAGACCATCTGAACTCCAGGAGACCAAAGATGAACAATTTAAAGGTATTTAACTTAGGTTTCCAGTGTTTTCCAGAAATGTAGTTGAAGTATAGCAACAATACTTGCTATGCCACAGTAAAAAAAATTTACTGAGCATTTGCTACCTGCTAGATAGGCAATTTTTTCTTAGCACCTTACATATTGATACGTTTTAATCCCTTAAACAGTCCTTTAAAGTTAAGTTTTATTATCCTTATTTTAAAGGTGAGGAAACAGGCACAGAAACGCTCCATTGTTGAACAGTGGTGATTGTGAAAAAGTTATTTGCTTTACAGAATGTAAATTTGCCTTCCCTGTATGGCCTACCTTTTGCTCTGAGTCTGTAGAGCCTTCTAGAACAAGCAGTACAGTGTAGTATTTGAGTATGGAAGAAATGTCCAATTATTTATTCTTTTAAATTAAATCAGGTAAGTCCCCATCTTACCACCCAGCAGGAAATCAATCCTGATCCTTCTCTAAGGTTAAACCAGATTCAAGGGAATTGTAATGGTGCCTAGAAAATAGAAGAAAGATCTTCAGGACTTGATGGTCACTGCTTAAGTCCTCAGTTGACGATCTCCATGGTGTCCTTTGAAGGCAGGTGGCACTGCAGATTCCAAACTTTGACATGGTGATGGTTCCTACTACTGGAAGGTTTCAATGCCTGGAGTCCGGCATGTCTTACACCCCTTGCAACCATTCCTTAAGGAGGTTGCTAGGCAAAGAACCGCATTCCAACTATTCTTCAGAGCCTACCAACCAGCTTTTTTCCAATGGGAGTTTCTCCTTTCCAGAATTCAGACTTGAGGGAAAAAAGGGTAGAACAGGTTTTTGCAAATAACATCTGCTTTCTGCCCTGCAACACCCATCTTCCCTACATTGGGAAACTAGGTGAACAAATGCAGATCTTTGGGGAGTGTTGTCTTTCAACTTCCCAAGACAGCTCAATTTCCCCATTTGTAAACACCTGTAATGTTGTGAGAATTGGTTTATAATGAGTGTTTAGCACAGTGCATGTAACAGTAATTAATCAATGGTATATAATAATACTTGGATTAGGCTTGTTTCAGCTGCCAAATGAACCTTTCTCTGTGACCAACACATGCTCCTTTTGAGGGAATGCCTCTTTCCCAACTGTTCAAGCCAGCTGAGTCTGAAAAGAGCTGCTGCCTTATCAGAGCTGCTTGCCTAGCTACAATGATGGGTTGGCTAAAGGGTGGCTAGTAATTCACTTCCGTGGCCATGGGGACTGATTGTTCAAGGGTCGAGCCCAAGACTCTGGCCATGAATACAGAATTATAAACTATTAAGTACCATGGAGGGAAAGGACAGAGGACTCAGACCTTGTTTAAGCAGCTAAGTCTGAGGTTGTTGGACAAATCATGTTTCCATTTTGGGTCTTAGGTTTTTTCCCCTTCCATAAAATGAGGGGACTGTATGGGAGGCTCTAGAAGGGTCACATCTGGACTTTGGCAGGCTCCTCTCACCAGTTGCTGCGTTTACAGGGTACTTGTTGGCGCTTTAGAAGGCCCAGGGTGTGCAGGGTTCTGCTGGAGCTGCGTACGTTATCAAAACACACCTGCCAATTTGTTTGGCTTCCTGTTTACATGTAGTCTCCTTGCCAGTTACATAGCAAAATAGAGGAAATTGGACTCAACTGCCAAGTGAGCGCTAGCAAAATTTGAAGCTTGAGATTCTGAAATTGAAGGTTTTTTTTTTTCTTGAGTTTATTGCCTAACTCATTTGGCAGCAATATCTGACCTGAAACGTGTGTGAATATGAGTACATTTTATGGTGGACAAAAGTATTTTTAATCCTAGGTTCTTCTAGACGTGGCTATGGATGTTCTTTAAAACAGTACTTCCCTAAAATCTAAAAAATTCTGGCCACAAGAATTTTGGATAAGGGATTATAGACCTGTACTACTACTACTGGATCTTTACCTAGTGCTCTCTAGAGAGATTTACTTATGTGTGATTTTTTTTATTCTTACATGTGATTTTTACATCCCAATACAGCCCTGTGATACTGGCCCAGTAAGTTTCATCCTTTACAGATGGGCAGTTCAGGTGTTTATACTATGTTTTTTAAGTGCAAATGCCTCTCTACTAAACACTGGCGGATAAATGCGGACCCTGACATAGTAGAGAGGCCACATGGCAAAGCAGCTCATGAAGCTCATAATTCACGCTGTCTGGAATGAGTCATCCAAATGAATTTCCGCCAACCACAACTCTATGTGCGGAGGGGACTAATGGAATATCCAGACTCAGAATGCTGGCGCTTCTGTTAGCTCCTAACCACAACAGATCTCTCATGTCCACTCAGCTAAAGCACAACTACTGACAGAGGAGGAGTCACGTATGAAAAAGTCTCTTTTTGGAGCAAGCTCTTTCACTAAATCTTGATTTTCTTTTGGGTCAGGAATTTACAGTGGCTCAGATTAGCCTGATGCCACTCTCTGCTTGAGCTTTTACAGTTCTGGGAGAAACCACTTCAGGGTCCAGATCTCTGTTCTCTCCAAAAAATTTAAGTGTAGGGGCGCCTGGGTGGTTCAGTCAGTTAAGTGTCCAACTCTTGATTTCAGATCAGGTCATGACCTCAGGTTGTGAGATCAAGCCCCGCACTGGGTGTGGATTCTCTCTCCTCCGTTCCCTTGGCCTCCCCTCCACCCCCACCGAAAAAAGCATATAGTCCTTAAATTAATCCAGAGTTCATCTTCAGAGAGAAAAGAGCAAAACTATGTATTTTAGATATCCCTGAGCTCTACAAGTTCTAGCTGGTGTGCAGAAAGACACATTTAGCCCATACTGTAGTCAACCATTCATGTTAATGATGATAACAGCAGAAAGTGAATGTTTTATAACCAAGCCAAATTTGCATTAGGCCTCCAAACTTTAGGGAATCAGGAGACTCCCTACCCTTACAATAGCACTCACTGGACGTGAGAAAAGGGATGAGTCCTGAATAATCCATAGCTGTTATGTTATAATCAGTCCTGCAGTAAAAGTTAAAAATAAATGGTCTTAGGAGAATTGCACATATATTTCATGTTGCTTAATTTCTAACCAAAATATTAAGCTCAAGGAAAATCTTATTTAGCTAGAATTCTATGACACAAAGCCTAGTAAATGGTTTCCTTCACATCGTGCCTACGGTTTCTTTCCTTTTGCATTCTCTGTCCTAGGCATACACTTCTACCCATAGCCCTTACCTGCTAATGCCTTCTCTTTGATGAAGAGAATGTGCTACAGGTTTCTGAAGCCACAAGCCAAGCACAGGCCTAAGTATTTGCTGGATAATAGGATATATGCAGACTTGTCACTGCTGACATTTCAATGTGAAGAAGGCTTTACCATCAATTTGCACAGAGAATGGAGTTCAGCTCCAGTTTATGTGGCAGTTCTTCAGTGTCCTTCAGAGAATAGGTAGCCTTTAAGATGGTGTTCAAATTTCTTAGAGCAAGCAAAATGACATTTTAAGCATATCATACATCCTAAATAAGTCATACAAACAGGTATAAAAACAAGCGAAGATTAAAAAAAAATCATGGTCAGAAAGGAAAAACTCATGTACTTACAGATGTCAAAAGATGTCAGCTCTACACTAAGGGCATATAATAAATGAGCTTATGGAAAACTGGTATTAGAAAACGAGGCTACTCCCTCAGCCCATGACTTGGGGGGATGACCGTGTAAGATTTTGCAAAGGATAAACTTGATTTTTATTAAAGAGTTGATTTTATGATTTAAAAAATTAATCAGTGGAATTATACAGAAAGGTCATTTTTAGAATAAAAGGCTTAAAATTTAGAAATTCTTGTTCTTCCCCGTATTATATGATTTTCCACTGTCAATTTTCATAAATATGAATTATGTATGGGAAACATTTTCTGTTTTGGCACTTAGTAGTGATACAGAGCCAATCAGTCACACACCTCTAGGGTCATCACCATACACCTTCCCCATGGAAATTCACCAACCCTCATTTATAAAATGACCAGTCTTAGAGAAATGGGTGAATAGAGGTCCAAAGACCAAAGGATCTCCCAGGAGGAAAAAAGACAAAAATACATCACCCAAGATGAGGTCAAGGGACCAAAAGCCACTCAAACACTAGTTCATGTGATATATTTAGGAGAAGGAACAGAGATTATGCATATTTGCATTGTGAACAGTATGTATTATACAAACTTAAAATCTGTTAAAACCTAGTGAATCAGTCTGATGAAAATCATTCACACAGTATTACGTAGACAAGTATGTTTAAAAAAATATTTTAATAAGCATATTCAGAATGGCAGACAGGGAATGGGAAAAGGAATTATTTTACAGTGCAAAAATTACTAGGCATAAATTTAAAAACATCTAATTCATAATTTTAAATGCCTATTTAAATATTCAAATACATTTTAAAGCTCAACACACTTGTGTTGAACTGAGTTGCAGATTCTGAACTCTATTTGAAAACACATTATAAAACAATATCATTTCAGATGAAAATAATAGTGCTTTGCTGAGGGTGGGTATAGGGTGGGGGAAACTAAGTATTAACAAAGGCTTCTTTTCCCAATGCAGTTTGTTAAAGAGTTCAAGAGTTATGAAATGTACTAAATCTTAAAGCAAATTAAATTCATGATATTACTAAAAATTTTAAAGTAGTGCAATGACTTATCAAGTTATAGTGGCTGCATTATGAAGAACAAAGTGTGTTAAATATTTGTTCATGAAAAGCTGAGCATTATGTATTATAATAGTGGAATGTCTTTCATTAGGCATACTTTAAAAAGATAAGATTAAGAAAAGTAAAATTTCCTAACATGTATACATGTGCCATATGTGCAGACATGCCTGAGAATGTACTAAAAATGTTCCTGTAGTATTAGTTTCCAAGAACTTCACAAACCTGCAAACAAAATGCATCTTTAAAAAAAGGTGAAAATAGCATCTCTAATATTGCAACAACTTAAAAAGTACAGCATCACTCTTCATTTGAAACACTTCTCTAGATCATCTTTGACAGAGAAACACTTCTCTAGATCATCTTTGACAGAGAGCTAGGATACTTTGGATTCATGTAATAAAAACTGATTTAGAAAATGGATTGTGACCATCTGCTAAAGCTGCCATTCTGGATAAATTAATGTTGTAGGTAAAACAAAACAAGCAACAAAAAATTCACACTTCTCAACACTTCCACCCAAAACTTTGATTTACTCAGGTATGTATGTAACAGTGAATGTGCATTAAATGAAGTCAGGTGTTGTAAAGTGGCTTTTTAACACTGTTTGGGGAAAAGAGTTGTTCACATTGGTGGAAGGAAGCAGACTGAACATACGTTAATAGTAATACTTCATGGGGTAACCTAAACCATAACTTCTCAGTGCAAATCTTTACTCAATTGCATAAAACAGTTGAGCCATTAAAAACAAGACCACAGAAGATTTATTTTAAAAAGGCATTAGCTCTTGAACTGATGGCTGAAAATGAATCAGAAGCATTTGGGGTATGCCTGTGTGAAAAAACAAGAATAGTTAATAATCTTTTATAAAAGTTTGGATATAGGTTGGTCTATCAGCTGTATAAAACTACATTTTTAACAAGAATTTTGCACTAAAAATAAAATGGCACTCTTGCAAGGCTATGCAAATGGATGGTCCTATTTGTAATCACACAGAGCAATGGTTATACATCTTATCATTTTGGAACATCACTTTTTCCTCATAAAACCAATATTGTTATCTGCCAACTCCTTGTGTGCGCCAACATCTAAATATTGCTTGACCTTTTCCCGTTTAGTTAATGCAAAAATGGGAAATTTTATAATGCATATAAAAATAACTGAACAGGATTCTGGTCAGCATGATATATTGAATGAAGCACTTAAACCAACATCAAACTTTTGTCTTGCTTCAAAAATAATTTTGAAAATTATAGCAAACGCAAAACAAACTATGCAATCTAGGTATCATGCTTAATTTCAAAATTCTCAAACTATTTGTCCTTAAGTAGAAATTTGAAAAAACAAATTTTCACAATCCTTTATGAATGCTTTTACCACCTGTATAAGAAACATGACTTAGTTACTACACAAACACTTAAAAATTCATTAGAAAAACCTTAGCAAAATAAAATGAAAGCTGACAGACTCAGAATATCAATTCCTCTCATAAAAGTTTACCAACTGTACAAGTTAAGAAAATTATACAAGCTTTTGTATTAAGAAAGGACAGCTCAGTCAAGACATATGTACTGTAAAAATCTTTCAAAGGCTACAAAGAATCTGGAAAAATACAGAATGTATTTCTTAAGCCCAGATAAGAATATGGAAAGACATCATTGATGTCAACAATTTTACATATACAAACCTGACTTGGTTTATTTTTAAACTTCTATATATAAAAAAATCATGCTAGCATAACTTTCAGGATTCATAAGGGTTTCCTTAATAATAACACTCAATTTGTATGGAGAGAAAAATGTCTCTTGTGAAAGATAAAGACATCTCAAGAAACTCAGAAAAACTGGTGTTAAACAGAAATTTGAATGTGGTTTTTTCTTCTCTACCAAAAACTAAGCAAAAAGTACCTGTAGTGAGCTTTTAAGATTAATACATCAAATGAGAAGGTACAGATAGTTCTGTAGTTCATTCAAATTTACTAAACTATTTGTTTTATCCTTAACAGGGTCTTTACACTTTTAAAGTAAAAAGTCTACAAAGGGCAGAATTATGAAATCTTAACTTACTAAAGTTAGGACTCAATTCAAATTTTCAAAATTTTAACCAACTGCTTCAAGGAAATCAACTTTTTAAGGTAACCCATCAACCCTGAAAATTTTAGTCACACCAGATTTTACTCCAAAGAAAGTAAAACAAGTCTAAAATTTAGTCATCTGTGTTTTCAAGTTCTTCAAATTTCCCATGTGACATTGCTTCTTGGAAAAATTCAGAAGAACCGGGACTTTCTTTTCCATTGCTGTTTACCCTTCGCCTTTTGGCAGGTCTCTCACTTTTTTCATCAAAATCATTTTCATTTCTTGCAGTCATATGGGCAAGTTTTGGGTCAGTGGTAAGGTTATCTGTTTCATAACCATTAGTATCCATGTCTGCATGAAGTGGTCTCTTATTTCCACCTGTTGGTCCATTAACGTGTAACCCTTCAACTTTGATTTCTTCTTTGTTCAACATTTCACCTGGTCCATTAGATGACACCCCTACATTGGAAGAAACATAAGTGAAACTGCTAGTATTAAAAAGCTAACTTTGTAAACTATTCTAAAACAGCTATTGTAAAACAGCTTTTCATCAAGAATGAGGTGTCAAATCTATGTGTACATATGGTCTGGTCTGAACTCTAGCTCTATTTACTAACTGTGTCACCCTGGGCAAAAGTTACTTACATTCTTTGTACCTCAGTTTCATCACATATACAATAAGGGTAATAAGAGACTTACCTTACAGGCTTGCTATGAAAATTAAGTAAGTTAATGAATATAAAGAATTAAGAGAACAGATTCTGGCATATATTAGGAGCATGTTGGTGTTATGTAACAACAAATGAGCACTGGGTCCCCTAGTCTAAATAAGCTAAATTAAAGCAAAGATACACACAGATTAGCAAAATGGTAATAACTTTCTAAAACTATATAAAAAAAAATTGACATTTGTTAGAAGCTTGAGTTTTCTACTGCCATATAAAATGACATGACTTTTATTCTTAATGTAAGTAAACCCATGGGTATTGTGCTTTAAGGGTAAAGATCACACATTGTATTTATCTAAATAGATTTAAATAATCTGTCATAATGTTAAAAAAGTAATGCTTGCACTGTCCAAACATACATTTGAAAGTCATAAAAGCAAACACCAATTCCTCCATAACAGGTGAGAAAAGAATTATTTACTACAAGTTACAGTAAAAAAGGCACGTTAGAGTTGACTGCAAAATGAACTAGACATTTTGGATACTTAATGTAAATATAGAATGTGCCACTGGAGATAAATTTTAATTATTAAATAATTAAGGATAAAGGATGAGCCTCAAATATTACATTTTGGCCAAAGAAAATATTCTGTTTCCCCAACTCAAAAGTGCACTCAAATCATAAATGCATACGGGGATTATGCACCATGATGCAGAAGAAATGATACTGTTATAGTAAGCCCAAAGAGCTATGTGACCACCGTGAGTAGGTAAAAAATAAGATTTCAAGACACTAAGCCCCTTACAAAAGAAATAAAATTGCACTGGAGAATTCCTTTCCTTGAAAAACCTGGGAATCTTGATTATGGGTACCTAGGTGAATGGCTTCTGAGATACTGAATAATTTATAAGTAATTTATAAACACTTCCTTAGGTTAACTGCATATTCTCATCAAATGGTTAAAAAAGAAAACAAAAAAAACAATTTGGTATCATGAGCACACAGGGAAAGTAGTATCAACTGTATGCGTCTCTGAGCTTCTTGCCTTAGTTGTAAGGTCTGACTCTTAGCTTCTTATTCTGTTTCAGGATAGCATTCAATATGCCCTCAAACCTGTTTAGAACCAAAAAATGGCTGCTTAGCCCTCTTTTTTGTTTGTTTGGCTTGTTCTTAGGGGGAAGTAGTGAAGGAACAGAGAGGGGTCATCAAATGAACAAAGTATATTCACTCCAGCAGTGCCAGTGTGAGACCAAAGGTCACAATAAGGGATAATCATTCAGTATTGTTCTAATTTCTGTTGGGGAGCTTAGCTCTCCACTGGCCCTCCTCTAAGACTGTTATATCAGAATGCAGGTGCAGAACTTACCTCCAATCCACTAGTTTCCTCTTTTAGAGGAGTGAAAGGCTTTATTAGTCTCTGCTTGGCAACTGTCTTACTTAGGAAGACCATTTTAATTAAAGCAGAAATCAAAATAATTCTCTGACTAGGTCTTACCAGCACAATGATCCTTGGTCCACTGTATATTTTAAACAAGAACATTACCTGAACCTCAAACATAATGGAATGTCATTTTCCTTCTTTCTCAGAGATAAAAATAGAAATGTTTCTGTACAGTTTTAATACAGAGCCTGACACATGCTTTATCTTTTCTCATCCTTCACAGTTACTACGCTTTCAGAGAGAAAACTATTCAAAACCGTGCCCTTGTTACCTACTTCTTTTCACCAAATGCTTAAAGCACTTTCCTGATAAAGTGTTACAGCTTTCAAAGTATTTCATAAATACCTGTGTACTTCTGAGGTGAAATGGCTAAATGGCTGGTGTTTTGCTCTAAGAGTTAACAAGAAAATTCTATCCAAGCATCCCAACTGATTAAGAAAATCATTGCTACTCAAAAAGAATTCCTTAAAAGAAATGGTCACTATTGATGGTTTATTTTTATTAAACTTGTTTTTAGTGATGTCAATAGGAATTCTTTCCAAGTTGTATTGTGTTAGTATGTATGTATGCTGTTTATTATGTATATTCGTTCTGTGGGTATTTATAATTACTATTTTTACAACTTCTGCATTGGAAGTTTAATACAAACCAAAACTGAATTGCCTGGGCTACTAAAAGAAAAGTGCCCTTCATCATGAACAAACCAAAGTACTTCTCTAGTTGCTTACCATTCTGATTACTATTGCTGATAGTGCCATCTTCTTTCTCAGACTGGCTGTTACTACTGTTTGAGGCAGTTGGGGGAGGGGACGGTGCTCGACTAGAGGCAGCACTTTCACTTTCATCTAGAAGACGATCCATATAATCCCTTAAAATTAAGTGAAATAAAAGTTACTTTCTTATATTAAAAAAAGCTGAAAATTAAAATTGAGGTTAAATTTAGAAGGCTTTATTAAATATGTCCTAATTTTCACTTACATTCATTCCAGTGCCTCATCTACCCCACCAGGATCTGAACATTTAAATGGAAAGCTCCTTTTGGTTACATGTTTGTTGGAAAAATGTATAAGGGCTTTAAGCTAGCAAATTTTAGATACCTATAGGAAGTTTTAAAACTTTTAAAACTATAGGCAAGTGCTCAGAGTGGCCCAATTAAAATCAGTGGTTCTGTAAGTGAAGAGACGGATGGTACCAATCAGAAGTACAGAACAATTTCTGCACAAAGAAAGACTGAAATTTTAAAGCTCCTAACGACTATGTGATGGCTATAGCAACACCTGGAAGACAAATCAGGGCCTACCAGTGAATCACTTCCCTGAACTTTCCTGGGTATCTTCTGTTATTACCTTTCTGCTAGATCTGAGCCATAAAAGGCTAAATTCCTGAGCTTATCTGCTGGCTTTGTCTGCCAGCATACCATTAGAGGTGAACTCACTTCTTCCCTAAGTTATTCCTGAACTATATGGCATGGGAGGACAGCTGTATTAAGTGACTTTGGGTTGGGGTTAGAAGAGCTGGGCTAAAATACTTATCTCTGAGGTTTAGTGTCTTTACCTAGAACATCATGTATGTATCTACCACACAGAGTTGTTGCACAAGACGTGTGCAGGGAAGTGTTTTTGTAAACTATGAAGCGCTAGTAAGTCATTAGAATAAAGGTCAGCAAACTATGGCTTGTGGGCTGGTCACCAGTTTTGTGAATAGTATTTTGATGGGACATAGCCACATCCACTCATTTACATAGTATCTATGACTGCTTTTGCACAACAGCAGAGCTGGGTGGTTGCAAGAGAACCAAAGGCCCGCAAAGCCAAAAATATTTACTCTAGCTCTTTAGGGAGAAACTCTGCTGATACCAGTGCTGGACTCATGCCCCAAAGGCAGGAATTTTAATCTTTTTGTTCACCACTGCAGCACCTGTGCCTAAGTAGTGCATGGCACAAAATAGAAGCTCAAAAAAAAAAAAAAAAAAAACCATAAAGCCATTACTTTAAAATTCCCTCAGAATAATTGTAATAGAAATACTAAGACAAATCCTTAGAATTTCTGAACAGGTAAGTAAGAATGTGTGTAAGAAGGAAACAGTGGAAAGGCTTAGGATTTTACTGAAAGTGTGGCAATAGTCTACAACAGACTATTAACTGTAGCTATAATATCAAACTACATGATCACACTGTCCCCTGGGATATGAGGATATAATAAATATAGGGACTTGAAGCTTTCAACAGTCTGAGGTACAAAACACATATCAAAGAAATGTATATAACCATGAGCTAATCAATTTACCATTCTAGGCCTCATTTTCCTTGCCTTTGAATAGAATTAAATGGTGTTTTAGTCCCCCCTCCAGCTTTATGCCATTTATCATAATTCCAGAACAATTATGTAACAAATTTGAAGCACATGGAAATACAAATGAGTATGAATGCAAAGGAATTTCAGAGGCTAGGACTAATAAGAACAGATGATACATGATGAGGAATTGTTGGAAATAAATTTGGTATGGTAGGGATGGATAATGGAGGATGTGAAAAGCCAAGCAAAGGAAGCTAGAATTGACTAGATACTGCAATGATACTGTAAAAGAATTATCATTTCTTAAGGATTAATGGCATCCACAATGAGTAAGGAAGAAGAGTCAGGTGGGCCATCCAGGAGGTCGGAGTAGCATTCAGATAACCAGAGTTAAGATGGGTTAACTTTTACTTTAAAAAAAAAAAAAAATTATTTGCAAGGCTGTTACAGTAAAAGTCTCTAATTCGCATCTGGCTACCAGTTCTTCCAGGTATTAACTAGAGAAAATCTGCAGGAAGATCTTTGCAAAGGTTGTTTATAAGGCATAAAAATGGCAAATGTGCTTCATTCTGGTGAACAAATGGAAGGTAAAAATGTAACAGAAAAATGAACAAATAACTTTCAGGACAATGTGCTCTAACTATGGATTTTGACTAAAAAAGGAAGATGAAAAAACTCAAATTTCTGTCTTATAACAATAACAATGTTTTGTGCACTGGAAGTGCAACTAAAAACAGGAGGAGGTCCTGAAAGCAAACTGAAAAGAATCTCCATGTTTATAGAAAACCACAATTTCTCCCTGTTTGGGCAATAATTATAGTCTGGTCACAGCTTCTTACAGAAGATGTAGCACAGCTAAAAGGGATAAATAGGAATAAAACATTACAGTTCTGTCAGTTAAAAAAAAACAACAAAACTTTATGAAATACCTACAGGGGACATAACTGAAGCCTACAAAAACCACCATATTCTCGCCTAGGGGGACAAAAACCCATTTGTTCACTTCCTACCATTATACCAGGGGACCACTGTAAAAATCTTAAAGCATGAAAAAAGAGATAATATGGGATTACTTTTAACTGCAGCTACTCCACCTACTGAATACTTAACCTTAAGAGGAATCAAGGTTACAGATATAAGGATCTTCAAAAAGTTTCCAGAAGCTATGGAGAGATTATTAGAGAAACTCAAATGTTTGGCAGCACATCCCTACCTAACCTGTTGAGCTTGACAGCACAGAGGACCAACTAAGCCAGCCCACAACACTTCCCTTGGTGATGCTTTCTGAAAGAGAAAACTGGATGAACCATGGGTCTGACCCAGCATGGCAATTCTTATGTTCTTACTGCTGGTGACGACAGATTGCCTGTAGTTCGTGTGTGAACATTATTTCTGAAATGGGTGAAAAAAATGAAAGATGTTACTATTGCTTTTCCCTATAGAATAGCTTGAAAACTGACTATTTTAAGATATACTCTGAAGACTAGACCGCTGTATCTAGTTCTGCATCATTATACCTCAATATTACCAATAAATCACCAAGAAAAAAATTAACTATAAATTTATAACATTAAGCAATTAGATAAAATTTGGAACACTATGTATGAAATTCTACTCTAGCCATCATGAGCTTTGAATAATGGGGGATGAGGCACAGAGTCCAATGTCCCATGATTTCCAGGGGCAATCATACCCATTTATTCCCTTTTAGATAATTCTGCTTTGGATTTTAGAGTGTTTAATTCTCCAGGGAAGTGACCAGCAGAGACACCTGTAAATGAACATGACCAAGAAACAGTCTAGCCTAGGAGTTTGCAAAGCACAGTCAAATATGCATATAAGCACTTCTTTCAAAGGCAGTTATTTGGCCCACCCTAAGAACTTTATTGGTATACACTGATCAAATGAAGTTACAACCTAGCATTATTTTTATTCTGTAAACAGCAGGAAATAATCAAGGATAGAATGGTAAAGTTTAATTCCAGCATTTTAGAGCAACTCAACGAGAGACAAAAGGTTCATTCAATACTCTATGTACTTAAGTAACAAATTACCAGTGGCAGCAGGGACAGTTTTTTTTCCAAAGCTAGACTGAATGAGGCTAAGAGATTTGGTGCATGGTGACTGGTACAGGCATACAAGGCATTTTGCATGAAGACTACATATAATAACAACTCATACTCCCGATTTCACTGGGAGTAAGCTAAAGTTGCAGGACTAATGATTAAATATTTCTGTTAGGGGAAAGGTTTCAGGAAATCTGGGAAAAGGGAAGTCACCATGGACATGTTCTCTCCTCTTTAAAAAACTTGGTAACAAGAAAATGAAATTTGACCTGATTTATTATCTCTATGTCTTTTCCCTTTTATATCATCTATACCCAAATCTTATTTTGGTTCCTGAGATCAAAAGTAGACGGGACAAAGAAAAATACTAATTTCCATTCCTTTTTAAAGGGCCTCTATTAGGCATACCGTATAGCTTTTGAAAAGAGTCTTTTTCCTATTCTCACTGTGCTCACAGTATTATTAGATTAAAACTACGTGCTTATACTGAATGGAACAGAAATTAACAAAAACATGCTTTAACAACTGTTATGATCCATTTCCTTTCCTGGAAACATACTCTAGTATTTGCTTTGAGGTATTTATTGTCTCAAGCAATATGAATTGTAGTTTATGTTTTGTAAGACACTGATAAGTCTAAATGCCCTATGAAAATATGTCTGTAAGTGGATAAATTTAAACTATTGTAAACTTTTATCCTACTGGAAAATGAAGATACTAAAAATTACAATTTTCTCAAGAAAAAATTCAATAGCAAAAATATATATATGACTCAACAGAAAAAATAAACTCACGTTACACCAGGATGAAGATTATATTTCTTTTTTCCAAACCGTGTTTGCTGAGCAAAGAAATCGTAACGTTCAGATTTTTTCCACATATAATAGAATGCTACACATTCACCAACTGACCTTGTTCGAACCTATAAGAAACAAAACACTTGTTTTTAAGAATCATCTCTTCCTTAAAGAAGTTATTTCATGAAAAATATTTGAAGTCTGAAAATAAATTTGTATGTACCTTACGTAATATATAATACATTGTATAAAATACAACACTGCAGCAGCTTTGTTAAAAGCTACTCTTTCCAAACTCCCATTGAGAGAAATAATACACTGGCAACAAATCTTCAGATATTCAGCATTACGCTTTTTAAAAAACTATCATCTTAATTTACTATAAACACTCCTCTATTGAAAATATCTGGAAGTGGTATCTGAGCTAAAATTGTTATAAACAGTTTGCAAATACTTTTACTCACAGGGTACCTAGGGAGTCTACCTTTAAATTCCCATTTAAAAGATTCTCTTAGTAGTCCACCAGTGACCCAGACTCAGTTATTTTATTGTCTAGAAAGGCTGAGAATATTCCACAGTGAGCTGAAAAGTATTATAATAATGCCAATTCTCATTTGTTGTTCACTAAGTTACTCCAGTAACTGTGCTCTATTTGTGTGAATAAATGATTCCCCTTCCATAAACGTTCAGCACCAATGGAACTGGCAAATGATGTGGACAACTTCCCTCTTTTTGCTACTTGGCTTGGAGAGCTGTGGTAGGGTTGATATATATAATAAAGTACTGGGAGTTTAAAAGAAAAAAGCTACTATCTGCATGAGTGTTGGGATGTAAGACCATATTGCTTTAAACCCATAAACCCATAAATTTCTAATCCTGAAGTAGGTATCCTATAGGACTGATTGCACCTAAAGTCAATTTGATGATCTCCTCATTTCACTACCTGACATACATTTTTCTTTCTTCCCTTATGCTTGCACTTTACAAATTTGGCCCATCTTGCTCTAAGACTGAAAGCTATCAATGCTTTTTTTTTTTTTTTTAATAATCTCAAGCTCTTTTTCTGCCTCCTTTAGAATCTAATTTCTATACAGACATAAGCCAAGTCAACTGTACTTTACTGAAAGCAAAAATTGGAAATAAATTCTTACTCCCTAAAAAAAAGGGATTCCTTGGGGCTGCTAGCTATCATACTAGCTTATCACTCCAGGAGTCCCCTCCATAGATAATCCAGCATGGTTTGGTTAATATAGTGTTTTAATCCAAGCAGGAATGCTAGAAAACTCTCATCCCAAAATGTTGCTCCATTCAACCATGAAACAATTTATTTTTTTGTTTTTCACAATCAGAAACATACATGTCCAGGCATTACTATAATGCACTCCTTTCACAGAATATTCCCTATGCTGGAGGTAATCAGATGATTTGGACACAACATTAAGGGGTAGGATCCATTTTTGACACCAATTCTAAGACTCAAAATTTATTAGTAGTTGTGTCTGATGTCAAATACCAAAATGCAACAAGATAATCAAGAATAAACTAGTTAGGGGCACCTGGGTGGCTCAGCTGACTGAACATCCGACTCTTGATTTCAGCTCAGCTCATGATCTCAGGGTTGTGGGATCAAGCACCATGTCAAGCTCCGCACTGGATGTGGAGCCTGCTTAAGATTCTCTCTTCTCCCCCACCCCTACTCTCGCTCTCTCAAAATAAACAAATAAACTAGTTAATGCACAACAAAATTAAGAAAAATAAACTCACAGGATTTATAAGCAACTATTTACAGAACATAAAATATTCAAACAAATTAAGTGGACACCAATCACATCCAGAAGTATAAAAAGAAGAATGTGGTGACAGACTATTTAGAACTCAATCAACACCATCCTAGACAAGCCATCACTCGAAACTTAGATGCCATCTTTAAGGAAACATGTAAAGCCACACTCCTTGTCATTTCTTTTTGCTAAAAATGTGATATTTTTATAAACCGAGAAATTAGTTCATTTCCTCCATTTAAACTCTGAGATTTTAATTTTGCACATCCTAATTTCCCACAGAAACAACACATTTTTCTATTCCATATAATTGTATAGTTCCTATTAAAAATCTAACCTGATTTTATTTTTAAGAGAATTAAACCTAAAAATAAATCTGGAAGTAATTATGAAGTTCTTTTGGGTATACGCTGACACTGTAAAATTGGTATTAATATGGAATAAATGAATCATGTTAAATAAAATTGTCAAATTATAAAATTATAATGTATAATAAAGCTAATTTATTGAGATATTCTTCTGGAAAATTAAATTTTAATTAAAGCCAATTTAAATATTAAGTATCTGATTTTAGACTTAAATAAATGTAGAGATATTTTAATTGTAAATAACGTCATGTTAAAAACATTTTAAAGTTTCAAATTATTTGTAACACCAGTCCTTTAAAAAATCTGTCACAAGTTTGTGGAAAAAAGCCTTAAGTAATTACACTGTATACACACATCCCACCCAGAAGTTGATTAACATTTCTGCAAATCAGTCCAAACTTAAAGGCTCCTAATATCATGCACTGAAAACAGTCACTGCTAAACAGATCCCAGAAAATCTAGGCAAGTTTATAATTCCCTAAAAATCAATACATTAAAACATTACAGAACTGTTAACATTTGAAAGTAATAAAGATATAAGATGATCTGGGTTAACTAATTATCTTTTTATAAAAAAGAAAACATTACCATTACTTACTTTATTAGCCTGAATCAAATGAAAATCCTTTCCATAGGCCTTTAGCCCTTGTTCAAAATTTCTACACTCTTCTTCTGTCCAAACAGATAATTCCTCTGACAAAATGAGGGAGAAAACTATTAAAGCAATTTTCCCCTAAATACTGCATAAATAGTTATAAATAAAAATGTAAATAACGATAAGGGAAGTATTTTACTCCTGAGCTCTATTATTGATGGCTGCGAAGGATGAAGTGACAAAAATTCTGTATTTAATAAAATTTTGGATGATTTGGTCCCTAATTCTTCAACTTTACCTTGGACCACTTTCTCCTTTACGACCTAACTATACTAGCCACCTTTCAATTCCTTAAATTCACTATGTTCTTTCTCACTTTAGATTTTGTGATGCTGTTCCCTTTGTCTAGAATCATTTTCTGCCTCACCCCCTTTTCACCTAATTTGTTTACATTCTAGCAAAAATACCACTTTGTTCTATAAACTTTGCCTAACAGCCTCTTTCCCCAAATTAGGTTAAGTCCTACTGCAATAAATTTGAAGTATACCCTCTAATTCTCCTTGGAAGAACTCATAACTATTTTTCAGCTTCCCTACCTAGCCTCTAAGCACCGTGAGGGCAGGACTCTGTTTACAATTATGTCCTCAGAACTTAGCAGGTCCTCCAATTTTTGTTGAATGAATAAGTATCTTGTTTGCTATGTTATGTTATATAATAGTGTTCTTAGTGAAGCAGGGTAGGAGCCAGTTTAGAGTAAAAAAACTGGATTTATTTTAGTTATGACTTCACTGCTTATAAATTATGTTTGCCCCAGCAAAGGTACTTCAGTTCAGAGACCTCAGTCTCATCATTTTTGAAAGTAACAACTGTCACACTCCAGAGTTCATAGGGCTATTATTAACAAGATCAAATAAGAAAATATTTAATAAAAATGCCTTGAAATTGAAAGGCATTATGTATTTTTATTTTAATTGCCTTATTTTCCCATAAAGAACAGCCTTAATCCCATTTCCCATAATGCTTGTGTAATATACAAGTTATTTAACAAGTTACAAGTTACTTATTATTCAGCAAATATTTACTGATTTCAGAAAGATCAGTATTATTATTAAACTTAGGATATACCTACGTAGACTGAAGATCTTAAGCTTATTTTCTGCTAAGTCATGAAAACAAAAATGCATTATTTACGTTTACCTCTAGCCGCTTTTACATTAAATCTTAATCTTCTCAATGCTTCTTCTGTGTCAAAATTGCATTTAACCAACTCATATAATGCCTAGAAAAATAAAAGGCGTCAGTATGTGACCCAGACTATGAAAAGTTCAAGGCTACAATTTCTTAAAAAAGTAAAAGCTTTTCCTGAATCCAGTATTTCTTTTCATCATTTCTGGAAGACAAATAATTCTAGTGAATGAAACACAGAGAGCACTAAAGAACAACAAATTCAATCCTGATAATTAACACTTCTAAATGCTTAAAAACAGGATAAGCAAATACTCTAACTTGGAAGCCATAGTACCTGAGAAACTTAAAAATGAAAAAAACTTTTATAAAATTCACAAAATCCTTCTTTTTGGCTTTTTGTGGTTCCTATTCCAATTTAAAACAAATCAGAAAGAAAAGCATTGATGAAAAAAGGTTAAAAAAAAAAAAAGATAATGCTGTTTTTAGGTTCACAGTAGGCACTGGTCTACTATATCCCTGATAACTTCATTCCAGGTATATATTCCCTAGTTGATGATATCTATACATTCTTAGGGATATCCAAAGGAACTTCAAAAATCCTAATAAGAAGTATATACAGGCAAAATGAGATACCATTTTTATTTTAGCTGAAATCATACTAATGAAGCGAGCGTGTACGCTAGTTTTTTCAGATTCCCTGTGATGACAGTATAGGAATTTTGGTGGCTAGAATAACAGTGAATGTGACAGCATTTACATCTATAAATGTAAATATATAAAAATATATATGGTTAATTTATTTTGGGAAAACTTTTATTTCTGTTTTAAAACTGAACTATATAGTATAGAACTGTATTACATTAGCTCCAGGTGTACAACATCATGACTGGACAACTGTACACATTACGCTATGCTCACCACAGGGGTCACCATACAAGGCTATCACAATACCACTGACTATATTCCCTATGCTGTACCTTTCCTCCCCATGACTTACTCATTCCATAATGAAACAGTTACTTCTTACTCATATACCTGTTCATTGTCTTTTATGTGAGATCCTTCAGGAATTGCTTCTACACCTTTCTCATCACCTGTTCTTCTAGATGCATCCTTAAGAAATACAATCACTTTATCTTCCGGTAAGTACTCAGGGTCCCACAGGAGCTGATCATCATTTTCATACACTAAAGTAGTAAAACATAATGTTAAAAAAAATGCCAAAAATTGTTCAAGTTTGTGTTAAACCACTCTCACTGACCAAATAACTCACACTTAGGAGCCAAAATGTTGATTATCGAGAGGTAAAATGTGGTCCTAGTATTTGTCTAACTTTGTTCTTGGACCATATTTATAGCCTAAGTGATTTAAGCAATCTGAACAGAGAAATACCATTTGATAGCTCTTTCACAGCAAAGCTAAGATGACTTAGCTTGAGTTTACCAAGTCCAAGCTCTCTTCGTTTGAAAAGCACCACCACCTCTTACTATCTGTATGACCTTGGGCAAGTTACTTCCCTGCTCTCTGCCTCATCTGCAAAATTGGGATAACACTATCATATACAGGGTTGTAAAGATTTAAAGCACTGTGGAACAATTCTGGCACATATTAAGGTTCAATGGATGCTAGCTAAAATTATTAATTTTTGAAATAGGAGGTCTAAAGGAATGTGCACCAAATGTCAACATGGTTTATTTCTTGGTGGTTAAGATTTGGGATCATTTTTCTTACTTTCATATATTTTTCTATGAAGCTTAAAAATGCATTATAATGAACATAAATCATTTTCATAAAACAAGAGTCTTTCTTAAAAAAAGCATTTAGCTTTCATCAGAATTTCCATTAGAACAAGATTAAAGCCTCAGTGCCATCACAATTTTAAAAGTGAAAGGAAAGGAGGAAAGCCTAAGATGAAAGCCTTGTGCAATTCCAAATGACAGGTAGATGGAAATGTAGACAATATTAAGGAATACTCACAAGATAGAAAAAATACCAGAAATGTGGCACCATTGCAGCTAGGGGAAGAAAAGGTTTCAAGGAGTACTAGACTGGTTAAATGCTGTTAAATGGCCAGTATGAAAACTGAAACAGGTACGCTGGCTTTACTAACAAGGAGGGGAATGTTTCAAGAGCTGTTTTTGTGCAGAGATGGACGCCCAGGCCACACTGGAGATGACTGAAGAGTAAATGGAAGGGGAAGAAAGAAAGGAGAGAATTCTTGAAAAGTTCGGTTGTAAGAGAGAACATGGGGGTAGCAGCCAGTGAGGAAGTATAGTTGAAGAAAGTTTCTGGTTTTGTTGGGTTTTTAAACACAGGAGACAATGATTTAAATGCCAATAGGAAAGAGCCAGCTGAAGAAAAACTGTGAATTTAAGAGATAGAGGATAACAGTGTCAAAGTTCTTTGTGTTATAAAAAAGGAATTAGCAGCTAATTAAGCATCTCCAGTGTATCAGGCACTACGTTAGGTGTTTTCATATAAATTATCTTGTCTCACACTCCACCCCAACTACACACATACACTTTAAAATATCCTTCTACCTTTCTGTTCCCCAAAATAAATACTCTTCAAAGTACAAGGACAGAGGGAAAGATGGCAGAGGAGTAGGGGACCCTGTTCCAACCTGTCCCTTGAATTGAGCTGGATACCCACCAGACCACTCTGAACACCCACGAAATCAGCCTGAGATGTAAGAAGATATATCTGGATCTCTACAAACAGAATATCGCAGGCAGTTGCTTTCGACGTATGAACTGGGGAGCCATAATTCCCCAGGCACATATCCGAAGATAAACGGAAGGGGGAGGGAGCTGTGGGGATCCTACACCGCCAGTGAGCAATAGCCTCCTGTGCTGGGGACGGGGCACAGACTCACAGATTGGTAGCGGCGGGGAAAGGACTTCAGGGCAGCCCCCGGGGTGGAAACCTGGAGCGGCGGGGTCACGCACGTGAACTGGGGGCAGCTGGTGGTTTTAGAAGCACAAAGGGCAGAGACATGCCCCGACCTGGAGACGAGGACTGGGAGTGCTGGGGAGGGGCTCACACCCCAGGACGCTGCAGTTTATAGCAGCACAGACAGAAACAGAGAATGTGGCCTGGAAAGCTCAATGAAGAAGACTGTGATCTCTCTGTTCTGAGGCAGACGGAAATGGTCTCTTCTGCTCTCTCAGAAGAGATGCAGAAAGCCACCAAGGAAAGCCACCAGAGAACAAAAGCCCCCAAAAACGAGTTTTCACTGAGCCCATCCCCCTCCACAGCATGGCAGGGCAACTCTGCCCAAACAGCGCTGTCTGAGTAACAGTGCAGTAGGCCCCTCCCCCAGAAGACAGGCTGGGAGAACAAGAGGCCAACAACACTAAGGTCCCTATAAGACAGGGGCATCTTGCTTGGGTTGTGGTCAATAATCTGGACTCTGTACATTGCCTCCACCACCCCTCAACAGAAGGACTAGGAGGAGGAACCCTCAAAATAGGAAAGATTCAGAGACTGTGACTTCTGCCACAGATTTACAAATGGATACAGATATAACCAAGATGTCGGAAATGGACTTCAGGGTAACAGTTATGAAGACAATAGCTAGAATGGAGAAACTGATTAATAGCAACATAGAGTCTCTAAGGGCAGAAATGAAAGCTGAACTGGCAGAATTTAAAAATGCAATCTAATCTAGATACTCTGTTAGGGTAAACAAGGCAGAAGAACGAATTAGTGATCTAGAAGACCAATTGATAGACAAGAAGGGAAAAGAGGCAGCTTGGGAGAAACAGCTCAAAATCCATGAAAACAGAATCAGAGAAGTAAGTGACACCATGAAATGTTCCAATGTCAGAATTATTGGGATCCCTGAGGAGGTGAAGAGAGAGGAATAGAAGATATATTTGAGCAAATCGTAGCTGAGAACTTCCCTAATCTGGGGAATGAAACTGACAACCTGAATAGGCCAATAACCAGTAATGAGATAGAAGGAGTGACCAAAAACCTCCTAAAAAACAAGAGCCCAGGGCCTGATGGATTCCCTGGGGAATTCTCCCAAACATTCAAAGAAATAATACTATTCTCCTGAAGCTGTTTCAAAAAAACAGAAACAGAAGGAAAGCTTCCAGACTCATTCTATGAGGCCAGCATTACCTTAATCCCCAAACTAGGCAAAGACCCCATCAAATCGGAGAATTTCAGACCAATATCCCTGATCAGTATGGATTCCAAAATTCTCCACAAAATCCTAGCTAATAGGATCCAACAATACATTAAAAGGATCATCCACCACAGCCAAGTGGGATTTATCCCCGGATGCAAGGGTGGTTCAACATTCGCAATTAATGTGATAGAACACATTAATAAGAGGAGGGAGAAGAACCATATGGTCCTCTCAACTGATGCAGAAAAAGCATCTGACAAAATATAGCATCCTTTCCTGATTAAAACTCTTCAGAGTATAGGGATAGAGGGAACATTCCTCAAGTTCATAAAATCCATCTATGAAAAACCCACAGCGAATATCATCCTCAATGGGGAAAAGCTGAGAGCCTTTCCCTTAAGATCAGGAACATGACAAGGATGCCCACTCTCGCCACTATTGTTCAATATAGTACTAGAAGCCCTAGCAACAGCAATCAGACAACAAAAAGAAATAAAAGGTATTCAAACTGGCAAAGAAGAAGTCAAACTCTCTCTTTGCAGATAACATGATACTTTATGTGGAAAATCCAAGACTCCACCCCCAAATTACTAAAACTCATACAGCAATTCAGTAATGTGGCAGGATACAAAATCAATACACAGAAATCAGCTGCTTTCTTATCTCAAACTAACAATGCAACTGTATAAAGAGAAATTAGAGAATCAATTCAATTTACAAAGCACCAAAAACCGTAAGATACCTTGGAATAAACCTAACCAAAGAGGTAAAGGATCTATACTCTAGGAACTACAGAACACTCATGAAAGAAACTGAAAACACAAAAAGATGGAAAAACATTCCATGCTCATGGATCAGAAGAATAAACATCGTTAAAATGTCTATGCTACCCAGAGCAATCTATACCTTCAATGCCAACCCGATCAAAATTCCAATGACATTTTTCAAAGTGCTGGAACAAACAATCCTAAAATTTGTATGGAATCAGAAAAGACCCCGAATCGCCAAGGAAATGTTGAAAAAGAAAAACAAAGCTGGGGGCATCACGTTGTCCAATTTCAAGCTATATTACAAAACTGTGATCACCAAGACAGCATGGTACTGGCACAAAAACAGACATATAGACCAATGGAACAGAATAGAGAGCCCAGAAATGGACCCTCAACTCTATGGTCAAATAATCTTCGACAAAGCAGGAAAAAATATGCAATGGAAAAAAGACAGTCTCTTCAATAAATGGTGCTGGGAAAATTGGACAGCCACATGCAGAAGAATTAAACTCGACCATTCTCTAACACCATACACAAATATAAACTCAAAATGGATAAAGACCTCAATGTGAGACAGGAATCCATCAAAATCCTAGAGGAGAACATAGGCAGTAACCTCTTGACATAGACCACAGCAACTTCTTTCAAGATACATCTCCAAAGGCAAGTGGAACAAAAGCAAAAATGAACTTCTGGGACTTCATCAGGATAAAAAGCTTCTGCACAGCAAAGGAAACAGTCAACAAAACAAAGAGGCAACCCAAAGAATGGGAGACAATATTTGCAAATGACACTACAAAGGGCTGATATCCAAGATCTATAAAGAACTTCTCAAACTCAACACCCAAAAAACAAATAAGTCAAAAAATGGGCAGAAGATATGAACAGACACTTCTCCAGAGAAGACATACAAATGGCTAACAGACACATGAAAAAATGTTTATCATCATTAGCCATCAGGGAAATTCAAATCAAAACCACACTGAGATAACACCTTACACACCAGTAAGAATGGCAAAAATTGACAAAGCAAGAAACAGCGAATGTTGGAGAGGTTGTGGAGAAAGGGGAACCCTCTTACACTGTCGGTGGGAATGCAAATTGGTACAGCAACTTTGGAAAACAGTCTGGACATTCCTCAAAAAATTAAAAATAGAGCTACCCTATGACCCAGCAATTGCTCTACTGGGTATTTACCCCAAAGGCACAGATGTAGTGAAAAGAAGGGCCATATGCACCCCAATGTTCATAGCAGCAATGTCCACAATAGCCAAACTGT